CATTATCTCCTAATCGCACATGCTCTTCGACAAACAACAACAAAGCAAATATATGTTTGCAGCTTTCTCCATAACCGGCTACACAATTGCATTCTGCAGTGAATATACTTCCGTTTTTATTCAAACATACCCATGATTCATATTCTTCATCATTTATTCTTGTTTGAGGGACTACAGTTCCTTTTAAATAACAAAATTTTACAGCATCTGATAAGCTGTTAAAAGCAACTGAGGTTACATGACCTGAAGAATAAAGAGAATGTCCTTCTTTCAAGGCTTTAGAGCTGTGAGTGAGAAAAGAATAAGTTTCAATGTCCAAATAGTTTGTGGTTGGTAATAATTTTATTACTACTTCTTTTTCTAACACCCAATTTCCGATTTCAAAAGGATGGGGAAGCTGGACACCTGATTTTAATTTTAATTTTTGAAAAGATCTGGATTTAATTTCTTCAGTTTCTTCTTGTACAGTTTTATTTAATGGTAATTTAAGTTTATTGGCATAATAAACGTTTTTTAACAATTTTTTTTTTGAAGGATTTTCACCAAGAGGAATACTCCTTGCTTGCAGGAATTCTTTCAGTTTAACAACATTCCAATTTTTAATTTCATTCATAAATGGTTTAATTTTTTCGTTATCAGAGGAAGAATCAGACATTGTTACAGTATTGTAGAAAACAGTAATGTTAAATAATTGTTTTGGTTTGTTTGCGCCTCAGTTATCTCATAATGCTTTATGCGTGAAATTTGAAAAATTAATAGCGAAAAGGCGAATTACTAACATTTCAACAGAATACTCTAGAACTTTATTTCGCTTAGTCAGCGTGTTTTTTGAACCAATAGAATTAGTTTGTTCGCAAATTTGGCGGGTTTTTAGTGTTCGCGAATATTCTTTTTATTCTTCCGCAAGATGTTTTAAGAACATTAAAGTTAATTATGTTTCCATGTATGTCTGTAAAATAAAAATTAATATATATTAATTTATTAATTTTTAAGCCCCCGCAATAATATATACTGGATGTTATAATGGAAAAATAAATAATGAAATAAATTTATAAATAATGAAATAAGATCACCTCAATACCAAAAAATACATTTTTGAAAATCAGAGAAAAAATGCGTTAATTTTTTTTTATATTTACAAAGTAAATTAACAAAAATGCATTATTATTTAGGTTAAAAATTATTTTATCTAATATTTTGAAAGAAAAACTTATAACAAAAGAAATCAAAATACACGTGGTCTAGACGATTAATTAAAAAAAGTTGCGCAAATAAAATACTATTTTGTTTTTAATTTTATTTCTGTTTTTAATTTTATTGTTTTTAATTTTATTTTGTTTTTAATTATATTTTGTTTTTAATTTTATTTTACGAACACATTTTAGAACTTTAAAATACAATAAAAATGAATATGATTTGGAAATTGTATGTAAAAAATAACAATCGGTGTTTTAAACAAACAAAAAACAAATTTAAGACGTCATCCACTAGAACACAATATGTCTCGGGACTTAGTAGTCCCTTTAATGATTCAGAAGCCTAATATAAAAAATAAAGTTTATTATTAAAACTTATAATCCAAACAGATTAATCTAATTAGAACAATCAAACCAACCTGCTTTTCCAAAAAAGATTTAATTTTTTTTTCTGAGTCAAATCTCTTTAGGTTATCATAATTTATCTTCTTTTCAAGAATCGATTTCCAATTACACTTTAGCCTTTCAAATAACTCAGTCTTTGGTCCACTTGTTTTACCTCCAGTAAGAACACTTAAAAAGTGCTAAAATATATTTATTTCAAATCACTTAACTAAATTTTAATAATAAGGTGAATCGTTATTAAATTCATCAAGAAATATTAAATAAATAAATAAATATAAAAATATTTTATAACTTCTTTTCAATATTTACCTTTATATGTATTTTGTAGACATGATGACGACAAGCCATCCAAATCAAAGCTTTTCCTCTCCACTGCTCAATAAGAGTATAGACTCCTTTTAGCTTACCAGTATTTGTGACTGTGGTGTCAAAGGACAGACAATCAACATAGTCAAATAGCTCCCAGTCTTGTAAAGTTTTTTTGATTGCTTTCTCAAGAGACTCAGCAGTGCCATCTTTCACAATTAAAATACCCAAAAGTTGGGATTCTGAAAGATCTGGTGAACTGATTAGCACAGCTAATCTTTCAACTTTTTCTTTACCAATTTCTTTCAATTCTACAATAATTTTGGAGTCAAAATATATAATATAAAACAAAAAATTAAAAAACATTTTAATATAATAAAAACCTGATATGCTTGTCAGTATTAATAAAAGGAATTCCTGCTTTTTGCCAAATTTTCTTCACCTCGTAAAGGACGCATGGTAAACATTTTTGGAGACAACCACCTATTTCAGCACATTGTGCAGTAAAGAAATCACCAAGTGGACATGAAGCTATACTAACTGATGAAATGTTTGGAAAATCAGCTCTTAGCATAAGATCTCTGTAATGGTAATATTGCAATACAGTTCTTTTAGTTGGCAATTGTGTGATAGGTATTGTTCCGATTCTTTTTCCAACAAGAAAAACTTCACGATGAGATTTTTTACCATAATCATTGCTTGTTGACATTGTTTTTATTTACACTTAAATGAAAATTTTAAAAATTACGGATTTTTTTTAACTGAACCCCTCTTCCCCTAACTCCTAACTCCCAAATAAACACAGCATGTCTTTAAATGGGTAGGGCTGACCATTTCATTTCATTTTTTGCAATAAAACAAAATATAATCTTAAATAAGCTTTATCAGGCTACAAAAATAACCTTAAAGATATCTTTGAAACATTTGTAAGTGACCCAGCCCCCCTCATTATTTACAAAAAGTAGAAATTTTCAAAATTTCGGACTGCTGGGACCGACCATAGGAGTACCCATAAAAAAAAAAAATTATATATTTTTAATACAGATATCAAAAGAAACCAGAAAAACTATTATGGTATTTTTTTTATTGACTTAGGTGTTTTATGCCCCACCCTAATATATATATATATATATATATATATATATATATATATATATATATATATATATATATATATATATATATATATATATATATATATATATATATATATATATATATATATATATATATATTACATATATATTACATGTATTACATGGCTGATGATTGCCTTTAGGCATGAAAATATCATACAATATATATATATATATATATATATATATATATATATATATATATATATATATATATATATATATATATATGTAATATATATATATATATATATATATATATATATATATATATATATTATATAATATATATATATATATAATATATAGGCGCTACTGCAGTTTCCCCCCCCCCCCCCCCTATTTTTTATTGTTGATTATGATAGAGAATTTTATGCTGATTAAGAATCGTATAAAAACATAGTCTGAAAATCAACAGAAAGTGCTCTAATTTGATGTTGAAGTTTAAAAAATTAAACTAAAAAACGCTAATATTCGCCATTTTTAAAATACGTTTTACATCAAAGTTTACATTTTGAAATCGATCGTTAAGAAAATCTTTTCTTAATAAGCCGACCCGGTTTTTATTGTCATCAAAGTTAATTTATAATTGAATTAAATGTTTTGATGAATGTATTTTAAATAACTTTAATTATTTTTTTAAAAATAAATTCAAATATTGCTTTTTAAATGTACATAAATCAACTGAAAAATAGGGATTGGCGCAATTAAATGTACACTCATCGACTGAAAAATAGGGGTTGGGCAATTGAATGTACATACATTGACTGACAAATAGGAATTGGTACAACTAAATGCACATACATCGACTGACAAATAGGGATTGGCGCGATTAAACGTACATGATTTGGGACAGGGTTTGGGCAAGGGATAAATCAGAAAATGATGCGCTGAGCATTTTTCAACAGTTTTGCATTAAATTGTTGATAGAAACCAGGCTTTTTCAAAATCATTTTTGAAAAAAATTTTAATATATCCGAGATTTGAATATTAGCGTATTTTAGTGTAATTTTTTAAACTTCAAGATCGCATTACAACACTTTCATGTTGATTTTCAGACCTATGTTTTTATACGATTTTTAATCAGGGGGCCATCCATAAAGTACGTACGCAGTAAAACCACTGATTTAGGACCCCCCTCCCCCCTTGTACGCACTTGTATGCTTTCAACGACCACCCCCCCCTTCTGCGTACGTACGCATTTTTTATTACAAGTTCAGGCTCTCCTCCCCTTCCTTCCCCAACGCATTAATTTTTCAAAACATTAAACACAAAAAAACATTTTGTTAATTTCTCTGTGCTTAATTTAAAACCGGAAAGTTATTTGTTAATAACTTTCCAGTTTTTGTTAAAGAAAGAAAAATATTCTAAAAAAGAATTCTTGTTGCGAGTATTTATATTTCATATTTCCTCAAATGGTGACTTAAATAAATATCAAATTATCAAATACAGGCATGAACTCTGCTTCCACACTTTTATAATCAATCTCCTCACTGATATCTTCACTTTTATTAATAGATTCACGTCACTTACACTATCCTCACTCTCCATTTCAACCGTGTTTTTTTTTTTGTGTATGTGCTTTCTTGTGCCGTTTCATTGCAGCCTCGCTTGGCCAGCATTTATTGCACTTGTCACAAATTCCGTTTGAGAGCTTTTCCTTTAACGATGGGCAATACAGATCAAATGGTATAATTTTGTATTTTAATCCTTCTATAGGTATATCATGTAGCAAAAGTCGATGTGTCAGTGGTGCAAACGTTGATTGTTTTGATACGTTTTTAAAATATCGAGACGGTTCCATTGCTTTGTAACCATTCTCGCAGTATTCGTAGATTGCCGGAAATGGAATGAAACGTTGGGGGAAGTTTTTCAGCCAGTTTGTTTCAAACGGTGTGCAACATGACTCCTCTTGGCATTTTACGATTTGTAGGCTGTATCGCGATTGCTGACAATGTTAGTCTACCCAAACAGGATCTGGAATTGGTGGTTCATATGCTTTTCCAACTGGTACAGCCTGGCAATGAACAGGATACCCGTCAATGACGGTTTTCTCCCAAACTTGGGATAAAACGTCAGCCGCTTTTTGAAAGTTCTCTACCTCCAATTCATAGTCGATTGTTTTTCCAGAAGAATCAAGGTGATTGCCAAAAAAATCATGAGGAAGGACTATTCCAGCCAAATCACGAGAAAGAGGCGCCATTCTTCGTTCTACGGGTTTAAAGGCTGAAAGGCCAGCTGCATTCACACCATGAAGAAGGGCATCTAAATTAAGCAAGCGAAAGAGGTCAACAGCAGTTGCTAAGGTTTTAGGGAAACGTGGTGCTTCATCCTGAGCTCCATCAGTCTCCATTAACATTGGTCTACGTTTAACCAACTCGGTTTTAAAAAGCTCTCTAACATCAAAAGCATGTGTAAAAGCATTTGATGTATCGTGTTTCGCACTTCTTATGCGTATGAAAGTGTCCCCACTGTATGATACATTTCCAGTATTGTTAACTTCGCATACGCCATACACTGATGGGATCAATTTGTGCTGTGAGCTAACGACAAAATCGTGATCCATGAGTTTGACCTTGTATTCCATATGCATCAGCAACGGCGCTTGAAGGCTTGCTGCAGCAATACCCAATGGGACCCTGGCTTTATCATCGTTGGAAATGAAAAGCACAGCTTTTGGTCCAAACAATTTGCAAACTTCGAACATGTCGTCAATGAATGATTTGGCAAACATTCTATCGTCATTTTTTTTTCGCATTGAGTTTTCTGGACGTAACAGCTTTACTGGAACTGTGCTGACATGTTTTTTTCCTTCAGAAGTGTTTCCACGTCGTGGTAAAAGACGAAGGTACAAACCACTCCTACTCAAGGTAAAGCCTATCTTTGTCAACTTTTCCTGAAGGTCATCTAAAGTGGAGACGCTACGGAGACATTCTGTTCTTCGACGTTCGTCAGCTGCTGATAAATTTTGCACAATTTTTATAATTGTTGATAAAAGCTCTGGTTGGTCAACTTCGAGACGCGGTCGTCCAGTATGGTTTCGACTAAACTGTTTCAAAGCACTTGATGCTTCAGGGATGTTCTGACACACAGTTTCGATGCTCTCTTTAAGTTTTTGTCTTCGTTTTCTTTGTTTCTTCGTTTCTTTCACAGTGTTTATTTGTTCCTTTGTTACGGTAGATAAACCAGAATCACGTACGACTATCAAGGATGCACGTTGTGATTCAAGATCTGAGATTTTCTTTCGACTCCTAACTTGTGCCGGATTTTCTCTTTCTTTTTTGTTGTCTGTTAAATCTAAATTAAAAAATGCCAAAAAATAAGCTATTATAAATTCTTGACAATTACTACTAATCAATTTATTTTGGATATAGAAAAATAGGTCTAGTGGTCAACATTATAAATTTTTGTGACTGCTCTAAGGTCGTACGATGTAGTTTGATTTACAATACGGTTAAACTCAGTAGGCCGGGTGAATAAAAAAGAGCAATTGCTTTTACTCAGTAATTGTTCAGTTTTACGTGAATAAAAAATTGAGCAATTATGCTCAAATTTCTATTTACGTAAAGTTGAGCGTTGTTGGAGTAAATTGTTCAGCTTTACGTGAATAAAAATTTGAGCAATCTTGGTCAAATTTTTATTCACGCAAAGCTGAACAGTTACTGAGAAAAAGCAATTGCTCTTTTTTATTCACCCGGCCTAATGTATAGAAAATCACAAGAGAGAAAAAGTTTTTAAAATATTACAGAAATTAGCTTACTAATTTCAATCCTTGCAGGCTCTGTCGTCGTTGCATTTAGGAAACTTCGTGTTTCATTTGACGAAGACGGCGCTGGATGGATATCTTTTTTCTTTTTGCTAGGTGGTGAAATGGTATTTCCCCAGAATGACATAAGTGATACTTTCGACTTTGTTACTTTCTCTTTTAACTCATTTATTTTTTTTTCATACAAGGATTCATTGTTTTTTACTATTTTCCACAACTCTTGTGCTTGCTGATACTGCTTTTGTTTTTCAAGTGTTGAATATGCTTTTTTATATAACTCAAGGAATTGAAGGTATTTTTTCTCGTTCCCGCGCGGCATCTTGGTCATAATAAATAATAAGTTTTTTTTCCAATGAGGCGTATTGAGTTTTCGAATAGAATCATAAAAGTTTTTTTTGTTTTAGTTTACTCAAGATAATTGCCGTTACATTGCATCATAAAAAGTGTTGGTTTCCATCAGCATTTAAAGTATTTTTTACAAAGTGTTGGTTTCCATCAGCATTTAAACTATTTTTTACAATTATCACAATGATTGTCATATGCATTGTCACATGTATGTTCATTTCGCTTTGCCTGTCCTTAGCAATCTTAATGTATGTTAATATTAACTTTAATGATAAAAAAAATAATAATATTACCTTTTTTTATTTTATTGTTTTTTAAAAACAAAATATTAACCTTTTAAGAGAAA